TTTATTTTTATCTGAAAGAAAATCAGTTTCGTTCTTTGATTTGCTTTTGTATCGGTAGTGCTGTGCTGCAATAAATATCCGGATCCGAGGTCCAGGTTTAGGAGCAATCGGATGTTTTCGAAGATATTTCCAATGCTTTGAATTCTGAAATGTACCCAAAAATTAACGGCCGTAGAAAAAGTATAGTATGCGACACGTTCCGTGCGCTCCGCTCGTGTCAAATAAACTCGAGAGTCAAATGCCTTTTACCGCAATTGTTGCATAATATACTATTTTCATACCGCTGAAAGCACACGAAATGGTGGTTTGAACTTTTTTCCTTTGGTTTATTTGATTTTAAAACACTGTCGATCGAAACAAATCCAATAATTTAGTAACATTAATGATTATTTAACCAACGTAATTTACAGTAAATGTTTCGAAAGGGCCACCGTTCTAGGAACATTTATAATTCTATCTTTTAGAGCAACAAAACCAATTAAAAAAAAAACAATTGTTTTGATATATTTCAATTGACTTGTCAAAAAATTTTTGCACGTGTTTTTATGAAAATTTGATAATGATCATTGCATTAATAAAAAAGAATTGATCGTTATTTAAAAAGTGAATAAAAATAATTAAAATTTATACACATTACTCAAATGAAGTTCTATGGTAGTGTTGGAGCTGTTGGACAGTGGTCAAATTGACAGGTCAATTGATCGTCAATTGACGACTTCTTAATTGACCGATCAATTGAACACTTCTTAATTGACTAGTCAAGACATGTTTGAAATAACATCTTACAATTGCAGAGTGTTATCTATCATTATTTAATAATAATATGATTTTGATACTAAGTTATTATGCGTTTGTGATGTCCAATTAGAGAATCCTAATAATAATATCGACTCCGTTTGGTTCCCAGGACGACGTGACGGCGACGTAACACAATATAAATAAATAAATATAAATTTAATGGTATTTGTAAAAATTATACAAATGAAAAAGAAAATACAAATTTATATACATAAAGCTTATCAATTTCTTCAGTTCAGTTCCAAAAAATAAATAAATAAAAGGTTTTGTTATATTTCAGTGGCTTCTTCAAAGTAAATAACCAAAATTGCAAAAATGTCACGGGATTTTACGACTTTTAAATCTTTAAATCACCGTTTTATGATAAGTTATTAAATAAAAAGCATACGGGAGGTACTTGCATTGCATTGATTTTTTTCAAAACGCTTTATAACTCCAAAACAAAGGGTAAAGTTAGTGTCGCATTTTGTTTCACAAAAACTTTTGCGTGAACCGCATATTTCTCTCTTTATTCGAGATATCTCGCAAAGCTATATAAGCGGTTTATTATTTTGCTGTAATTTTGACTCTAGAAAAGTTGAGCATATAAACAATGGATCGGTTTTCGATTTGACTATAAGTTGAATTTATATCTTGCACTATCGCATTCGATTTTTATTTTAAACGGAAACCCAGAAACACATTTAAAATCACTCTATATCTACACACAAAGTCACTCCGGTGGAGCCGCGTGCTTGTTTTATTTTCGCGGATAAACTCTGTACCGGAGTTTTTAAAACCAACGCTATATATAAAAGTCACGTTACTTTTAAAATTCCACGGCAATTCTTTATTTCCGCTTTAAGAACCGATCGATAACACGTAGCAAAATTATAAATAGCGTATCAAATAGCCTAGATTTAGTTGTCTAAAGCGAAATTTATATTTATAACCGTTTCCGCGCGCAATAAGGGAGATCTATATAAATCGGGCAGACGAAAGCGTCGACGCTTTATCCGTACAAATATTATAGAGTATGTTTTGTAATGTCAGATACACTAGTCGGTGTAAATCGCGCCGGATACAATCGTTTGGCACTCTTATTTGCACTCGATCTCCGATAATGCAGATTGGTTTCTTGATCGCGATTTGTTTTGTGCAGCAAACGAGACCTGAGAGGCGAATATGGCAGTAATATTAGCTGAATAACGTTCCGTTATTTTATCGAATAGAAACTCGAGGAATATTATGGGCCCAATACCCCCACCACTTCATTTTCAAACTTATGTCTATTTTTGGAAAAAGATAGTCATTTTAACTTGACGAGATGATGGATTTAATAGTTTCTTTGACTGTAAAGTTGAAGGTGTCAGATAAAAACAACGAATTGAAGGCTGAAGATAAACGGGTTGCTAGTTTTGCACATTTTTTTCTTTAATTTTGAAACTCGAAACTAGAATACATTCTATAGCGATTTAAAAAATTTCAATTTTTTTACCTAAAAACGGGACCTGACCTCGCGGTGACCTCATTCTGTTCATCAGATTGTTGTGAATGATTATAATAATTTAAAATAATTTAGAATAGGTACAGTGTGGTTCTAAATTGCCTCAATACTTGGAAAAATGCTCAGGGAAAACTTTTTTTTCTAGTCCCATCTGTAAAATACCTAATTACACACCGATCTGGCGTGCGGGAAGCGTCACTTTACCACATCAGTTTCATTTCCTACGAATCCGAGCCACTCCGGACATTTCCGAGATTTTACCGCATGGGATTGGGAGCAATCGGATGTTTTCGGAGATATTTCACACGCCTTGAATTTTGACGTTTGTCAATTCTGACAGTCATGTCAGTGAATGTATTCGTGTTGTTTTGTGCAAACGCACCCAACAACTAATGGTCGTAGAAAAAAGTATAGTACGCAACATTTTCGGTAAACTTTTTAAGTGTACTCGTTTATTAAACACTCGCTCCGCTCGAGTCAAATGCTGTTTACCGCACTTGTTGCATAATATACTATTATAAGCGTGGTGAGAAGGCTTTGGCGGAATGTGTTGTGTCGAGGTATTTTTATATTAGACAAAAACCCGTGAACGCACTTTTGAAGACCATTTTGACTTTTTTTTTATACCATATACACTACAATTTTTTTTTCTCCTTATTTCTTTTATGCATAAATTCATCATATTTTGTGCTCTGAACACGGAATAAAATAGGCAAAAAATGCAATACAGCACATATATTTTGAATAAAATGTTGAAAAATTATGTTTTTAAAGTAACAATTATAAAAAATTAAAAAAATATTACGGTCTCTCTCTTATCTCATTATGGTGACATAATACAAGTTATTTTGTAGTTTTTTCTTTCTTTTTTTTTTCTTGAATAGCGTCTACCAATTTGCATAATATCCTGATGAAACCTCTCACCATGGTTATCTGATACGTCACCGAGATTTTCAGGAAAGAAATCTACATGGAAGCCCAAAAAATGAGTTTTGAGTGACATGTTGCATCCTAAAACTTTATAATCAGAAAGAAGCTCTCGAATGATTTGTCGGTAGTTGTCAGCTATAGCATTCCTAAGAAAATTATGACAATAGATTTACAAAAGCAAGCAAGCTCTTTTTTCTGCTTTGTTCAACTTCGAATTAAAAGTTTCATCCGTCATAAGCTCGCGTATTTGCGGACGTACAAAAATTCCTTCTTCAATTTTACGTCCCTGATTCGAGGAAACTTTGTTTTGAGATATTGAAAGCCTGCATCATCCTTAACTTTCACAAAATTTTTCATAAGTCCTAACTTTATTGAAGTGGTGGCAGAAAAATATTGTCACTTGGCACTAAATGTTTACGAGATATATTTTTGAGTCCAGGAGTCAAGCCTTTTCGTTGTAGTATGTGCAATGGGAACTGATGGGTATTTACCATTATAGAGTAAAACGGCTTTCAAACTTATCTTTAAGGTATTAATAAAAAGTCTCTATTAATCAGAATTTTCTGGAAAACTAAATTCTTGAAGAAGCCCGGCAGCATTATTACAATATACTAAGTCATCTTTCGAAAGTAACTCTTCAAATCTTTTTCTCTTGTGCGAAAATATGAGACTCTTGTCCTTTCATCCAAAGGCGCCATCAAAATTTCACTGTCCGAGTAATTGTGCTTTAGATTTTGATAGCCCCAAGTCTCTAACAAGATCACTTAACTCAGATTGTTTAAGTAAATGAGGTTCTTTTGATGGACTTGAAGATCCAGATAAAGTATATGAAGATGTGCAAGCAGAAATAAAACTCGATTGAGGCTGTAAACCAGAAGTATTTTTATTTTCCATCTTTTCGTAATTTTTTGGTGAAACTGTAGGTAAAGTGCATTCATCACGAGGATATCGTCCCTTTGCAGATGCGATGTTCGGATATAATACTATATATTAATACAAAAAATGGAGTACTTTGCCCCATAATAAGAAATCCAGAAAAATACGAACTAAGAGCACGGATCATATCGAGGTTAGTTTAGATCTAATACGAACAAAATGCAACTACTATCTATGCTGATGTATCAAAAAATATAGGATTTAATTAAATCTTAGATGAAAACAAAAATTGTTGACGATAACAAGATTAAAAATACTCTTCTGAACAATGGATCAAGTTTAAAGAGAGATTAAAAATTATAAATTAAAAATAGACAAACTGTTCACTGCAGTGATCCTTAATTCGTAATATCATAAAATAAAATTTAGGAAAAATTATTTAAAATATTTAAAAAGATTTCATAAAACATCTAAATTAAAGACTTCCTTGTGTCATAAGGTATATTATACCTATCCAATTATGTAGATTTTAGCTAAGATTAAAACGGTTTAGCAACAAATAAACTTTTTTCCATCATCGCAAAAATGAAAAATTGAGTTGAAGTGAAAATCGGCTATAAAAGTTGCAAACAAAAAAAATGTCACCAAAAAGCAATTTCTTGATAGGTACGTGATGATCTTTTGGTTCGTATAAAAAACAAACATTTTAAAATGAGGATTTCTAATGTAGGTTAATGAAGGCAGCTATTGATTAAAACTATTACCTTCTCGCGGAATCTTCTCCAATAACAAATTTCGTTTTACTTAGTGATTAGATAAGCTAAATTAAAATTAACCCAGGCAAATGGAGGTCAACCTTATCGGTATCAGTAATAATATTAGATAAAGTTCTGTGTAAACTCGTCTTCCTTATTAGAAATGAGTGACAGTGTCTTATGTCAGTCAGACATGTGTTAAAGTTTTGCGTTCGAACTGGGTTAGAAACTCGCTGGGTCCATAGTCGTTCTTTGGAAATGACTCTCACTAAAAAAATTATAAATACCAACAACGCGCCAAGGCCAATAGCTCCATACAAGTAAGATCCTATTAATAAGGCATGATCATTAATCAATTTTGTTTCCTACTACGCAAAAATTATTGTTTTTGTTGTTAATTTAGTTTTGTTTAAAAAATAAACTCACGCATAACTGTAGTTTTGAGGGTTTGTGGTTGTAATTGTTAGGTTTTGTTTAATTATTTGTTGGTTTAATTTTAATATTAGATGTTAATCTTATGGTTTTACTTTTAGCCAAGGCGTTGTTTTGGATTCCACCTTATACGTGTCAGGATGCCTAGGCTTAGACAAAGATACCATGAAACTAGTAGAGGGTGACGTTAGCGCCGAAACTAGGCAAGCTTTAAAAAATCTCGGACACATATTGCAGGCAGCGAATTCCTCTTACGACAAAGTGGTTAAAACTACCATATTTTTAAGTGACATTAACGATTTTGCGGCTGTCAATGAGGTTTATAAGGAATGTAAGTAGTAAAATGTAAATTAAGCAAAGTAGGACCGCTCTGTAACATTGACATTCTTTTAAATAAAATTTCTCTCTCTCTCTCTCTTCCTCTTTTTCCGCTACCAGCATATTTATTAATTCTCAGCATTGAGCAATAAATGTGAATAAAGATATAATTAAACGTAATAATATTGAATCAAAATGTTACATATTCCTTCAACATACCAACGGTTTCAAATACTTCTAACTAGTGATTTAAATTAATAACCAAAGCCAAAATAACGTTGCGGTTCACATTAAAGTTTTCAAGGGCGGCAGAAACTACCGTTTTGTCGTTCGGCAACAGCAAACTTTAATTGCTCCGTGGTTTGCGAAATAATATAACCGAGAGCGGAATTGAAAATAAATGGGACCACACAACATTCCTCGTCACCCGATTATTTCTTAAATACGAAAAGTCCTCAAGTATTTTTCAGCAACCCGACCCATCCGCGCATACAGAGAGATGTTAGTTTGAGGAAAAAGTTACCCAAGTGTTTGAAAATTAACGCGCCACTTAATATAAACGACAGGGTTGAACAAAGTTTCGGAAGATTTTTTTTAACCGCGCAAAACAATTTTATCGATCCCTGGGACGGTTTCTTTCGGAAGTGTAGGAAACTAAAGTCGTTAAAACAACCACATTTCCGGAAAAAATATTAATGAGTTCGATGGAGTGTATACGGAAATTCGCGTAAATCTTCTAGACGGGCGGACGTAAAAACTTTAATTAAATAATAAAAAAGTTGAAAAAGTTCGCTTCGCGGTTTGCAGCGTCTCTTTTAAACCGTAGTTAACACTTTGTAATTTTTTTGCGATTGGCCGTATAAAAAATATTCAATTCAGAAAGAAAAAGATCTTAAACAATTGTTGAAGCAAAGAAGGTCCCAGAATCTCTCCATAAAGAATGGTGCAATTTTATTATTTTATATTTTTTACATTGACACGAATTTCGAAAGTAAGTTTCAAAAATGGCGAACGACATTGATAATATGATATTTTATAACTATGTGTTCAAATTTTACGTGATATCAACTAGCATGTTATGAGTTGGTACAAAGTGATGCTTGTCGCCTTAAAAGGCAATAAGAACCAAAGAATTCCACAAAGATTTGCTAAAAATATTGTTCAATATTGTTCAGTTGGTCTATAAAATGTTGCGTTTCATTTTATAAAAGCATTTTGCAAGCAAGTGGTTGGTACTTATCAATAATCAAATGCCATTTAAATAGAAAAGCATAATTCTCGATAAAATAATTACCCCTATCTCAAATTCTGCTACTGTGGACTTACTTTATACGTCTTCTCCATATCCTAAAACACATTTTCAAATATTTGATATAATAATGTTCTTATAGATCGATGAGGCAACAATAGTTGTTTTAATATGGGACCGACAAGTCATTATCGCTTATGAAAACAAGCAAAATATCTGAACTAACCTACATTTTCATTGATCATTACTCCTTGTATAATAATAACTGAATATATTTATTTTGTTGCGATTTTACTTTTCAAAATAAATTAATTTTTTCGTTTTGCTCAGTTTTGCTTAGTTCTATATAATCATTTACACATTAAAGATATTAAGCGTTCCATCACAAAATACACTTCAAACTTTCCATAGCAATGAGGCCGAAAGCAATCCCACCTTTGCTACTGTTGTCCTTCCTTACACTCAAAACATAGCTGATGACATATACAAAGTTCTTAAGAAATATATGGTCAAAACCAGATTTACCACTTGTCCAAAAATCTCTCAATATCTTTGATCCGTTAAAGACAAAATTCCATTTCAGATACTAACAGTTTACAGCATTTCATACATATGCAGAAAAGAATACATTGGAGAGACAGGATGAAAAATATCATCTAGGCTCAAAGAACATGAAAGAATATTAAGACTAAGGCAAATAAACTCATCAGCAGTTGCCGAACACAATCACCAAACCAGATATAAAATTTTATTCGATAAAACTTAAATTGTTGCATGTAATCAATTCTTCTACCAACGAAAAATCGGAGAATCAATAGAAATCTATAAACAACCATACAATCTTAACCGCGGCTCAGATCCTTACATTTCACCAATATTATATATTATAAGTTTTGTAAATAGTATTACAGTAGCCTGTGCAAGTTTCTTTGAAAGATTTTTTACTTTTGTTGAAAGAAAATCGAAAATATACCATTTTCTAAGGTAAATCCGGAAATACGGTATGAATATTTTGTCTTAAAGGATCGCTTTTCAAACGACTTACACTAGTTCTACAACTTGAACTACTATAAAAGTTGGGAAAGAAAGTTTTCCTTCTTATTGTTCTCCGCAATATTAACTTGAAGCTTTGGTATAGATATATTAGATGTCAAAAACGTTAAATACACTATCTATTATGACCGATTTATACTCTCACAATATCTATCAATATTCATTAAAATTAATTATCTTCTCTGAGTATTTATAAATGGTGGTGGCTTCTATTTTTTACTAGGTGCTGCACTTTTGTCTATTTGCTGCGCACGCAGCTAATGTTAACGTTTGTTCCAGTTTTCACAAAGGATTTCCCGGCAAGATCAGCTTTTCAGGTGGGAAAGCTTCCTTTGAATGCCAGGGTGGAAATCGAGGTAGTTGCTGGGACTGGAAATGTGAAAACGATATGCTGTCATTAATATTAAGGATATATAGAGAATTTGTATTGCTTAAATAAATATTTATTAATAAACTTAAGTTTTGCGATTAAAACTTGTGGAAATCTGCAGTTCTACTTTTTGCAAAACTTTTTTTTGTTGAGTCGAACTTGGTGACGTTTCGCTTGACTGAAAAACTTCAACTCATTAAGAAGTTTTGAAAAAAGTATTACAGTAGCCTGTGGAAGTTTCTTTGAAAAATCTACAGTTCTCTCGAAAATAATTTACTGAGTTAACTTTTCAGGACAATAAAGGTAATGCCCAAAATATCTGTTGTTATTTGCTAGTACTTGTTGCTTTCTTCAAGACTAAATTATTAATTTCACCATTTAGTTTTAGTTAGTTCTTTGGTAGCCTGTCCGTTTTTCTTCCAAATTAAAAACATATGTAAATAATCACAAGTACATTTAAGTTTTAAATTTTAATGGCAAACCTGGATAGTGAACTGCATGTCAATGACATCTTGAGATATCAAAATTACAGACTCCTAACTATCCATGTAAATTACAGATTTCTATCCAAAGAATTCACCACTATTTAGCAAATTCTAAACCAAAGAAATTTATATATGTTACAGGAAGAAGACTGCATGTCTTTTTTATTCTATTCAAAATCATTTCCACTAAAATGATTACATTGTTCAAACTTTCTTCTTTTTGAATAAAAATTTTAATAGGCCATCGCAATATATCTTTTTCTCCTAACTATCCGGTCTGTTTTCTGCCTGACGCAGTACAAGAAAATTATTAAGGTAAACCAAATCGATATAACAATTGTACATATTCATGTGCCATGGTGAGGAAGGGAAGGGTGTCAGAAAACTGTTGAGTTCTGACATTTGAAGATATTTTCCGACAATCAACCCGATACTGACGGGATACGGTCGCATCCTATATAGAGGGACTCCTATTATGAGTCTCCGCATTGCAAACAATGATCTTTTATTTACGTAGTTCGCGGATCTTGTTCCGAAAGAGGAAATGAAAATACCTGCACGGGTTGCATCCAATTTCGCGGGCGTCGCCGTCGCCGTCGCCATGCCGTTGTTTGCCGTGCTTTATTCCGTGTTGTTTCTTTCCCGGAATAATGCAGTGTCCAAATTTACCGACCGTGTACGCGAGAAAGATCTTTTTTGTCGCCGGCCTTAGGTTTAATGCAATCAAGTGAATGCTGAGGCGGCGGTAATGCGGTAAACGCCCGAAACTACTACTGGATGGAAAGAACATTCATTTAATCGGCTGGAAATTATATGGGGTTACGTTTGAACTCGGAAATATGCTCATGCAAATTAATACATGGCACTATCGAATTGAGTTCGAATAACGGGTGAATCTCATACGGTAAATATAATTAGAGAACTTCTTCTCATTAAATTCTATCTAAATATTAATATAAATATATAAAACACAATTCTTTTTGATAATTTTATAGACGTGCACTCTCATTTGGCAAAAGTGAATTCCAAACTTAATTTTAGCTTGTTTTTAATTTTTGTGTCACTTTTTGACGAGTTCCCAAATTTAATGGCCAATATCTAAACTTAAAATCACTAAATAGAAACACTTGTTTCTATTTACTGCACCTGCAATTATATTGACCTTTGTCTAAGTTCTCGACCTGTCTAAACATTTGGCAGGTTTTTATGGGAATTTAATTTGGATAATTAGACATTAATAACAATAATAAAGTGGACATGTTTGACAATTTTTTTTTTTGAGTGTTAAGTTTTTACTTATATTTTAGGTTAGGATAAAGATATTGGGATACGAGTTTCACTATGTTGTTAGCGTCTCACCTAATGACATAAGAACGTAATATCGTTGCATTTATTTATGTTTTCGTTGTAAGTAAATAATTAAAATCGCATTACTCATAGCACGACTGATAACCCAGGAAAAGCCATTTTTAGTGAGACCAAATTTATTCAAATGCGTTGGACCTTTTTGGAATTATAGACAATAATTACCGAAATCGTTTAAAAACTCGCCACCATTTGCCTAGCCGTAGTAAAGCAAAGGCAAACTATAACTTCTTTTATGAAAAATGTAGGGCACGCTCATTTTGGTTTAAAAATTGGCGACCAAGATAAGTCCTCCTAATACTGTTTGTTCTGTTTGCGTTGAAGTCTTAAGAAACTGGAAAAACGTATAAAGAAATGTTTAAGCTTTGGTGTTCCCGTGGTATGGCCATGGCATAGGAACCACAGTGATGAATGTCATTTTTGTTCGAGTAATGTTCAAGGATTTAACAGAAAAAATAAGAAACAAATTGTGTATCCCAATCTTGACTCTGCTATGGACTAGATCTGTCGATACCTGCCGCCCCCAAAGAACTAGAAAACGTCATATCGACAGAATCAGAGGAATCTAATTCCGACCCAGATGACTCAGACCACAGATTTCAGAGAGCCCGAAGTATTTAACCACAGCGAATTTAATCGCGAAAAAGAATTACGTCAATATTTTACTCAGGAAGGACCGCTAATGTATTGCAACAATATTCCTGACTTAGTTTCAAAATTAGGAAATGTGCCGTATGTAACAGAAGCATGGCGCCTGTATATCGACTCAAGTAAGCGTAGTTTTAAAAGGCTTTTTATTGCATGGTAAGGAGCTGGCCTTGGTTCCCGTTGCACATTCGGACATTTAAAAGAAAGGACTTCTTTTAAAGAAAATATGTTGCCGAGAACATCAGTGGAAGCTTTGTGGTGACCTTACAGTGCTGCGTATGCTCCTAGGACGACAACAGGAGGGTTATACAAAAATTATGAACACAATGACCAATGTCGCGAAAAACGAAGAAGTAATTGATAAGTTTCTTGGGAACACTAAAGACGAAAACTACGAAATTATGGTTCAAAATATGTTACAACACTTTAATCGTGTAGGTTGTAATCTGATTTTCAAAGTGCATTTCCTGTTTTCAAACTTGAAGTATTTTCAAAATATATAACAACTTAAAGTTCAGATTTTCACGAAATTATATATTTTGACATGACAATTGTTTCGACAACACCGTGTCTTTATCAATTTTTTTATCATTTATCAATTAACTTTTGATAAAGACACGGTGTTGTCGAAACAATTGTCATGTCAAAATATATAATTTCGTGAAAATCTGAACTTTTATTTCTTATTTATTTTGATTAATGGATTTTCATTAAGTAAAAGCCACCTCAGTTCAATTTTTGAACTATTTTCCGGAAAATCTTGGAGCAGTTCGCGAAGAACAGGAAGAGAGGTTTTACCAGGACATTAAAGAAGTGTAATAGTGATATCAAGGCAGATGGAGCATAACGATTATGGCTAGATGGACTGTTAAAACTGGATATGCCCTTCAAAACACACATCCGAATGTCCGAAGAACGCCGCTTTCTGGGAAAAAGACGAAGATTTCACTCAAAAAAGTCTGTTTTTTTTTTTAAACTAGGATTCCACATTTTTACTGAATAAAAAAATAAGTTATTTTAGGAATATCGTTTTTTCCTTTAATATTTGCGTGATACAAATAAATGCATAGAATTTTTGAAATTATTGAAAATGATATAAAATCAGTTTTCAAAGTAAAGACATCTGTCAAAAAGATTAATTTTGTAGACCTGTTTAATTTATATATACTTATTATTTATGTATTTATATAAACGGAGCATTTAAAATTTTCTTTTTTCCGATTCTTAACGATTTTTTTTTCAAATTTTTAGGATGTAATAAAGATAACTACTATTATTGTTACGATTGTTTATTATTTATCAAATTTTACATAACACATCCCCACCTGGATGTATCTGCATTTTTGGTTTACATTTTCTCTAACATATAAAATATGTGCTACATCTCGTTCTAAATTTATTTATCTTCAAAAAGGAAACTAACCAAAACATCTTAAAATTCTGAATGGCTGTTTTTATAAAAGAAACTGGCAGTTTCAATGTTTACCATTGGAATAAATATTTAATTGTTGATTTGAACTTTTTTGTATCTTCAACCATGTCATAGCAGATACCTGTTTTGAACAACTCTAAAGAAAGTCATCGGCCTTGATTAAGGTTTAACTAATATTAAATAGAGATATTTAACGGTTAAGTTTGTCTAAGTCGTTCGGACTGTCTACTTCCAGCGAGTTGTGGTAGCTCTCCATCCACCATGGTCTAAGAATAGCATCTTAAATATCTCGGCAATTAAACTTTGTTTTCCGCGGAACTTCACAGTAGCCCAATTTTCGAAATTGTATTCTCGAAATGGGGTAACACGATACTGATGCAAATGTAATGTATCGGACAATACGGCCAGATATGTTCCGTAAGTTATTCAATGAATTCGACAGAGTCGGGAAGTTGGATGCGCGACTGTATTCTGAATTGCCGTCTGCAAAGCAGAAACTGAAATACTTGCTTATTTCGGCCATTTGAATTCCGGGTTGCGAATGTTTCTCCGTATAAAGCCTTGATAATCTTTCGGCTTTGTACACTTGGAAAAGTATGATATATTGCTAGGCTCAGTGGCGAGATATTTCACATAGGCTTTAATGCTCGAAGCTCGTGCTTTATGCGTTCCGAATTGCAGTTGGCTTTGCGGGTGGCGCGTCGGGGTGGTTTTAGCGGGCCACGTGCACGTTCACAAATTATGCATATTTTTATTTTGGTAAATAAAATGGCTACAAGTACCTAGACTCTATTCACACAAAAAAAATCCATTTTGAACATTCATATTAATTGAAAACCAAACTCAACCTTAGGCAATTCCTTCTATAGAAAATCGACTCATACTAATCAATAACTAAATTAAATTTCCATATTTAACATTGGCACAAGCAAACATTATTTAATTTAACATATTAACATATTAAGCTGTACTCTGCCTCTTAAAATTTAATGGAATCTGGGCAAACACGAAAAAATCCCAACAGACTTGTTGGTTAGTTTCAAAAGTGTCTGAAGATATTTTATATCATTTTGCCAGAAGTAAATCTAAATCTCTTTATGAATTTTTACATTTTCATTTTTTTAAATTTTATATACGGTCTGCATAAGCATTTGCATTTAGTGAAATATACGAATGACGTCCAGAAAAAAAAAACATAATGCTAAGTACAAAAGTAAAATTTCCTACACCAGCTGCTGACTCAAGACGCGGAAAATACCACTATCAATGCGCCTGAATAGCAACACCAGAAAAACAAATTTTATGATTACCTCTAGAAACCTAAAAATGTGTGAAAACTCCACCATAACATGTAATGCAAAGCCCATAGAAAGATAA